AATTGAAGTCCATATTGTCCGTGAAAAAAAGGTTAAATGAATTATTATTGATTATTTTGATCATTATTAATTAGACAAGTTGAAAATGATTTCATCTTAATTTCAAGTCTTTTCAAAGTTCCATAAAAATCTATTAAAATTGTGGTGCAACAACGCACAAGATTTTCATCTAATAATGTATTATATAATCATATAATATGTGTTTATGTTCGATCATATATCTACCGATATTACTTTATCATTATCAGTTTTTATCACCTTGTATTTTACGAGTTCATATCTTCATGGTAAAATCCATAAAAACTATATATCTGCAGAATTCAATAATAGTCTTATATTGCATTAAAATTTTGCCATAAATTCTTTTTGCAATTACTATTTTGATTAAACTCATAAATCAATCTAGAATTTTAAAGCCTGGTGTAAGATTTATAATAAAACTTTACTCACTGTAATATAGTGCTTGTAATTCCTTTATTTTCTAATAAATATTGCAAGAGATTAAAAATTATTTCTTAATGTGAAATGGCATGTGGAAAACTTTCCATTATTAAATAAATAATGAAAAAAATAAAAGGTATAATATAATTAATAGTAATTTGGAAAAAATGGAAATAGGGTAGGGCGAGGCACAATGGTTCAATTTGAATTTAAATAATTATATTGTGAAAACCGGAACAATTATATAAAAACAAATAACATATATCAAAGAAACAACTATCTGACTATGTTCAGTAAAACTCTTAGCTAATTCATCATTGTTGAAATGTGTTTTTTTTACTGTTTTTTAAAAATATGTCACCTGGCTTTTTTACCTCATAGTTGGGGTAAAATGAGACAGGCAAACAGATCCAATGTCTTATTTCTAATTTTAAAAAGATTTTACGAAATAATAGCTAGATTATTCAACCAACGCAAAATATAATTTTTTTTGGTTTATATTTTACTGAGTAGAACCTTGATCTGGTATTTTGTCAGAAATATTCATCAGTAGGGCTGGAATAATTATTTATTCAATTTATCTTTGTAAAATTATTATTTTTCATATTTTACAGTCTTACCAGAGTGAAGGTTAAGTTGGTCCTCTTTACCCCGCCCTCATAATATAAGAAACTGTAGATTCTAACTTAAAATTAACAATTCCCTATAGCAACGTTGTAAGAATCAAGCTGGTTGTACACTTTTTTCTTTCAAATTTCAATTACTGTTGTTAAATAATTCTCAACTTCATTTGTTTTTGATAGTGAACCTTTTTACCCGCGGACCATAGAAGCCATTTACCCTATACATATAAAATATAAAAACTTATTCATAAAATATTCAATAAACAAAAAACGACAATAAATAACATACTGTGCAAATAAATTTAAAAATGCTGTGCATAAAATTTAAAATTAAAAAAAAACAGTTGCAAGTGGCATTTTGCCTTGAGGCAAGTTGCATGAACATCTCGATATGTATAAAAAATCGATTTAATCAATAATTAGTGAATCGGATTTTTTGCGAAAACAAACTTCTCCTTCGAGAAGGTAATAACATTTTACGATACAATACGAGACGGTTTCAAAGTGATGCTTTTCAACCATACCCACTTATAAAATCTCTAATTGTGTAAATTAATTCAATTTCATCCATTTCTTGCCCGAAACTTGTATTATATTTAAGGGTGAATATCAACTGTAATCAGTAACGAAAAATCAAAGAATGTATACCTATCCCCCGTTTTAAACGGAAGATACGTTCCATGAAAAACCATGTAACTCGACAAATTCATTTTTATATGGAGAAACTTTGCTAAAAAAAATCACAAGAATAAAGCCCTTTTTGTCTGTTGTTAATATGATGACATTAAAAGGAAAATAAATATCAATATATATAATATCAAAAATATTTAAAAAACTATAAGAACATTAATTTATTTCAATAATAAAACAAATAAAAAAAGCTATTTTGAATTCTTCAAGGATTTTCTTCATAGATAAAAATTAAAATTGGTTTGTAAAGATTAAAAACTTGTTTTACTCACTAGTTTTTTATTTCCGTCTTTTGCAATTGTAAATCTCTAAATTTTTTTATAAATTTATAAAAAATGATTTTGTTATTTGCTCACCTTGAATAAATTTGCTCTGTTAATTGTATATAAACAATAATTAAAAACTAGATTTAAAAACGATGATGCTCTCTATTTTGATACGCCAAACAAACTAGCTTATACACACATATAATTTATTTTTGATCATAAAACCGGGGCTTTCCGTCTCATATACATATTTCCATCATAGACATACACTACTAAGAATTCGTAACTTTAACCTACATTTTGTAGTATTGTAATTCGATAGTGAAACAATGAAAATGTTATTGTATATATAAGAAAATTATAGATTAGTGTTTATAATTTCATATAAATACAAAATTAGTGAATTTCGTTAAAAAAATTATTTCAAAAACTGTGTAAGTTCGAAATCGTACATATTTTAGTATATACAAATAATGTATGAAGATTCTTATTAGAATCGCTCAAGTATCGCGACGCGGCAATAATTATAAGCTGAGATAAATTCTTATAATTATATAGCTTATTTTTTTAACTGGTATCGACTCAGTGAATCATATAGTTAATTTTAGGCCTATAATAATAATAATAATAATAGTATGTAATTGCAGACTACAAAATTTATCGTTATCAACATTTCATCAAAATGAATCGTCTTTACCAAAAACCCAACCAAAAGCCATCGAACAGTTTTTAAATTTTTATAATCGACTCAAAATTGTGGACAAAAAGTTTCAGAAACTTTACAGAATTCTTGAAGCAACAGCTTGAGATAAAAACCAAAAAGCTTTACTGGTTATTACGGACTAAGTCCAAACAAAGCTCATGCAATAAGCTACTTTTATATAAAACTTTATTCAAACCAATTTGGTGCTATGGAATACAATTGTGGGGCATTGCTCATAAGACTAATATAGAAATAATTCATCAATTTCAGAACAAATTGAAAATTGCCTTAAGGGGACCAAAATTTATCTCAAACTGGCTAATTTATCTCGACATAAACACCTCTACCATAAAAGATGTAATAACAAAAACAACACATAAATATAGAAACAAACTCATCACTCACCCAAAGAAAAGCGCCACTGGATTTGTCATCCACTCTCCTAATAAAAAATGAAATAACTTAGTCATTGTTTATAAGAAATTACTTTATAAGTAAATAGTTAAGATTATATAATTATTAATAAAATATTGTTAATATTACAACGAATGGAAAAACAACTATTGAATTGTTTTTCCAACATGACCATTTAGAGTACAATTTCCTTTTATGGCTGACAATTGTAAATTCCCCAAATTTATTAAATGTCCTTAACTGGACAGTTGTGAATAAAATATAGAATAAAAAAAATAATAATATAACTAATAATAACTCTCATACTAAATAATAATATAATAAACTAGTTGGTTTGGTATTTGGCCTTGAGGCAAGTTACATAAACTTCCCGATATGTGTAAATAATCGACTTAATCAAAAAAAAAAGTGTAAATAATATACTTCATCAATCCTACTTTAAAAAAATGATAATAATTTTAGCAAAGTTTGACGAATTTTCAAAATTAAACTACTTGTCGTAAGGCCGTAATATTACAGTAAGTTCTATAAGACCATGATGTATATCGCCAAAAAAAGTTACATGAAAATCGGCTTAAATTTTTTTTTCAACAGTTAATTACAAGAAAACGACTCGGTAGATTTTCACCTAAAACTAATCAGTACTATTCCCAACTAATATCTTTCGAACAGTTTTTGATTTTTTGAAAATCGGTTCGGTAGGATGAGCTTAAATGTGGACGAAAAGTTTAACACTTTTTTTCAAATTGCAAAAAAACGGCTTGGCAGATCGTCTCACAAAACTGACAAACGATAGTCCTCATTGAGATACATCAAATGGCTTTTAAATTTCTGAAATCGGTTCAGGCGTTTCTGTGAAAACGTCAATCAAAGGTCTAATTTTGCCAAATGCCAAAAGAACGATACTAATTTTTGCAAACTTTGATGAATTTTTAAAGCTAAACGAGTTGTCGTAGGGCCGTAACATTTTAGTATGATCTAGAAGACTAAGATATCTACCGTCAAAAAAATAATCATAAAAATCGTCGTTTTTTTTTTAAAAAAAAACTTTATTACAAGAAAACGGCCCGGCCGATCTTTACCAAAAACTAATCAGCACGATTCCCAATCAATATCTTTCGGACGGTTTTTGAATTTTCTTAATCGGTTCAGAATTGCGCGCTAAAACGTAGACGAAAAATTTTTCACTTTTCTGCTATTTATAAAGAAACGTCTCGGCCGATCGTCCCACAAAACTTGCAAACAATAGTCCTCGTCGAGATACATCGAATGGCTTTTAAATTTTTGAAATCTGTCCATCCGTTTTGGAGAAAATGGACGGCAAAAAATCTGTTCACACACACACATACTTTTTCCAAATTTGGTCTCATTCGATTCAGAATGGCTTGAAACGTCGAGAAAACATAAAGTTAGGGAATCGGATTTTTTTATGAAAACATAAACTTCTCCTTCGGGAAGTTAATTATTTGCATTGCTTGTATATAATATCTATTTCAATATTCGCGTTGTGTTATCCAGTTTTGTTGTGTTTTTTTCGTAAATTTTAAGTTTTTCGCAACACTAACAATGCAGAGATTGTTAAGATGATTTCTTATAATTTAATTGTTTATTGTAGGTCTATAATATTTAAGTATGTTATTCCAGACTACGAAGTCTATCATTATGCAAAGATTCATCAAAAACGTAAAACAAGTTTAAAGAAACAGCCAAAAACTAATCAACACGATATCCAACCAGTTTTCGAATTTTTAAAATCGATTCAAAATTGTGGCCAAAAACGTGGACAAAAAATTTCAAAAACTACACAGAATTCCGACTAAATAATAATATAATAAAAATGATCTATTATTATTATCATTCCAGATATTGGGCTGTGACGAACATCGACTACATCCATCAAAGGACAAAGCGTCGTATAATGCTGATGATCCTGGCCGTGTGGAGCGTGTCCTTCCTGGTGTGCGTGGCACCGATGCTCGGCTGGAAGGATCCCGATTGGCAGCGCAGGATATCCGAGGATTTGAAATGTCTAATCAGCCAAGACGTCGGATATCAGGTGTTTGCGACGATATCATCGTTTTATTTGCCGCTTCTAGTGATACTTATATTGTATTGGAGGATATTTCAAACGGCGCGGAAAAGGATACGACGAAGACAGGTTAGTAGTACAATTGATAATATATCTTCAAAGAATTTAGATCCAGTAAAAGATTTTTTTTTTCAATATCTTTACATACATATTCTTTCGATAATATCTACGAACAAATCACAGTGATTTTCATGAATATTAAGGTTTAATTATTTAGTTGTATATACAGATATACACACAATTATTTTATATGTTGTTTTATAAGTAACGGTTATTCTCGTGTATGTAGGGTAGTTTTAAGCATCCATGAGTAAAAAGGTCCACGAAATCTCAATATCTCAAAAAACAAATCAATTTAGAAATTTTTTGGCAACTATATATTTTTAACAGACAGCACTCTTACCACGTCGTTATCAAGAGACGGAGTATTTGAAAATCTAGAACAAAAGTATTTTCTTTCGTTGTTAGTTTTTCTAGTTGTGAGTACTGTTGTTTAGTTTACGAGGGTCTAATATAATTTTTAAGTATACGTTATTTAATTGGTTTATAAGATCCATTTTTGAATCAGATTCAATAGTTTTCATTATATCAGCTCTATAATAGCTAACATGAGGTTGGGGTCAAAAGGATTACCTAACTCTTCACACTGACAAATGTGTAAACAATGAGAAAATACTAAAAGAAAATATAAATTGAGTTGAAATATGGTATTTTACAAGAGATAAATTAAATAAATACTTATTCCAACTTTGCTGATAAATATTTCAACGAAATACCAGATCAAAGTTATATACAGTAAAATTTTATCTCTGTAAAGAATGTACCCATGAAATATATATTTTGCATTGGTTGAATAATGTATTATTTTGTAAAATCCCTTTAAAATTAAAATTAGGACACTGGATCTATTTGCCCTCTGGCCGTCCCAGTTTATTCTGCCTATGGGGTAAAAAGGCAAAGGTGACAAATTAAAGAAAAATAGTAGAAAAACACATTTTTATAATAATTTTTATAAATTTAAATTGCCTTTTGTAACCCGCCTCACTCTTCATATTTATTATTTAATTTTTAATTTTAAAACTTTCGTTTTTTTAAACTTTTTCACATATTTTACTTTTTATTACGATTTAATTTTACAAGTTTCCTAAATTAAACTTATAAATTTAAAAGTTGTAATTTCACTATTTTCACAGTGAATAAATAAATAACAAGTAAATAAATAAAAAGTATGATTTTGGACAAATTTCTAAGGATAAGGATCCAACTTTAAAATGCAAATCAATTATATAAACAATGCACTCTTTTTTTAAGTTTCTTTAAGTTTAAGTATCATTTTGGACAAATTTCTAAGGAAATGATACAACTACATAATGCAAATCAATTATATAAACAATGGACTCTTTTTTAATTTCTTTTTTCTGTAGCTTAAGAAATTATATTATGCTACTTTTAATAGCCAAAAAACCGAAAAGTAATTAATAATTTTAAATAGAACTTAATATTAAATATTGTAGTTGTTTTTAATAAGTTAATTCCATAAACTTTTGGGGAATACATCACTCAACTCTGAAATAACTTAATCAATTATATTTTTTAACTTAATTTTTTATCATAATGAATTGTATTTATTATGTGGCTCTCCACACTTAGATTGATTTTAATTTTTAACTAGTGATGTATCGTGCCTTAAGGCAAATTGCTGGAACTTCCCGTACCGTAACGAAATGTTCGAAGAATATTAAATGTTCTCAAATAAATTAGTTTAATATTAATACTGTAACCTTGTCTAATATTTAAAAAATTGATATAAACTGAATTACAAAGTTAAAATTATTTATTCAAAATATATAAGTGAGCTTTAGAATTTTAGCCAGAATCCAGAAAATCTGAATTATTTTCGATACAAAAAAAATCGAAACAGAAATTGAAATAAATTTTTATGCTCTCTTTGCTTCGTTCCTCCGTAGCGGGTAGACCTGCCTTTGCCAAAAACTAATCAGCACATTCATTTTACCCTACGGGAAGTTAAAAAATTAATTATATTCTATGTCTACGAAATATTACTTGAAAACAAAATGACATAAATACGTTGGAGTTATCAAAGTGTTAAACTACTTTTTTATCATTAACATAATACTTGTTGTCATCACATCAAGTAAATACTGTTACATTATTTTCAACAAATACTTCGAAATCGTAAATTCAATTTTTATTTCCAAATTCTAAGAATATTACTCAAACGTATATAAGAGTATATAAGAGTTTACCACCCATCACCAATATCGGATCGCAGAAATATATTATAACGTCCAAGAGAAGCGAACAAAATTTATATGCTAAAGATGCAAAAAGCTTTATGAAATATTAAGTTGATATTCATTCTCTCCTTGAAATTTGAGTGCTTGATTATGCCGCTCACGAACTTCCGTATAAAACGAGAAATAACTTTGGTTAGTAAAATCTCAACTGCTCCTCTTGGGAAATGAATACTTATATTATTCATCTTCAACTTTGCATTACATCACGCATTTTGTTAAATCTGTTCGGAAAGATACCTGGTACTACCTGGACTCATAAACGCGTCAGAAGGAAATTAGATAATATCGTCGATGATGCATTATCTCCACGAGAAGAATTACGATGTACTGGATATAGCGAAGTTTTTTACGGCGGATTTTTTATCGCTGTTTTCTACACTTTTCACCTGTAATAAATTCGTTGAACCTATCATTTTGATAAATGTGCTGTACCGGGAAGCATAAAGGAATTCAAATCGTTCTTTTAATACAATTAATTTCATTTTTTTATAAAAGTGTGAGTTATTGCATAAGTTCTTTTTTGCAATTTGCCGTACTTTTTTTTATTCATAATATTACGATTAATTATTATGAGGTAAAGTAGGGCGTACAAAGGTACAATTCGACTTTGAGCAATTATATTGTGAAAAATCAACCAATTATATCGCTCTCTGTTGAAAATAAGTTGCTGCTATATAAATCAATCATTAAATCAATCTGGACCTACGGAGTTGAGCTCTGGGGATGTGCTTACAGATCAAATATAGCTATAATGCAGAGAACTGATCTCAACGTGAAAATGGTGCAATTAACATTCAAAGAATTTAAGGAAAAATACAAACGTAAACTGGAATCACATTCAAATCCATCAATAGGCGACATTATCCAACCATTTGGCATTAGAAGATTGTAACGTCAATGGCCTTTAGATTTAGTCTTAGATTAGCTTCAATATATCATTATCTTTTTGATTGTTAAACTAAGAAGATCTCATTGGAGTTCTTCTTAGACATCGCTCTCAAATATTGTCAATTTAGCTCATAGGAATTCTTATGTATTTCTGATTGCTGAATAAAACAGAGTTAAAATTTAAAAAATTACATAAACAAACCTGACATATCAAATAAACAACTCAGTGAAACTCTCACCTAATTCATCACAGCTTTTTATCGAAAAATTATCACCTGTTTCTTTTTAGCCCAGAGGCGGATTAAAATGGGAAGGCCAAGTAGCAAACAGATCCAATGTCGTATTTTTAATTTTAATGAGATTTCATCCAACAAATATCGTTGTTAAAAAATTCTTTACTTTTCTTGTTTCTGAGATATCGGTGGTGGACCTTTATACTCGCCGAGTTTTAAGTATCGATCTACTATATATATGACTAGTTTTTTTTTTTTTAGTTTATATATGACTAGTTTTGTAAATTATATTTAGATCTACATATTTTAAGTGTCAGCAGATATCACTACTAATTGATATCAGGTTGTCTATTACAAACGACCTTTATTACAAAGTTTACGATTTTTACGAAGGCTTTTAAAAGAAAATCGAATCATAGTTCTTACTGAAAATTGAATTTAATTTCTAAACGCTACTAATATAAAAACAGGATAATGGTCGATGTTTCTAATTGTGATAATGCAGCACCACCACGAATAACTACTTTCACTGAAATGATTTATATCAGATATCACTTGAATTGATTTATATCAGATTATCCAAAGCGGAAATTGAACCTGAAACCTTGTGGATGTAAGGCCAGAGCTTTTGTCAAATGGTTCACGAATAAGCGCAACGATTATTATATAAATAAATTGTTTATCTTCAGTTGTTTCGGACAAAACTAATAATTAGCATCAACGTAGTAATATATTCGACGTCTGAGCTCGTAATTAATGACTTCGTATTGGCAAGATAAAATAAACATGCCTGAAGTACTAGAGAGGCAGACGAGTCCTTTATTATGTATTCATCGCTCGCATATTTTAAGCAGATAATATATTTCGGCGCCTAATGAGAGGGTTTGCACTTAGCTCTTATACTTATCCTTAAGACTAGTGCTAATCACAGGGACTGAAGTCATTGCAGACGTTTGCTACTTAATATTCAATTTTGTAAAATTCCAACTAGCGAGCAAATTGAAAACGTATAAATTAATCACCCAAGTGGTGATTTAGAGGATTTCATTATGTTCAACTAGATCAGGGTTGTATACAGTGTTATCTCTGTAAAAATGTACCCATAAAATTTTTATTTTTTTCATTGGTTGAATAATATAGGTATTATTTCGTAAAATGCCTTCAAAACTTAAAAATAAGACATTGTATCTGTTTGACCGGTGGCTCTCTCTTTTAACATAGCATTTGGGGTAAAAAGGACCAGATGACAAATTTTGGAGCAAAAAAAATATATTTTTACAATGATGAATTAGCTGAAAGTTTAAGTGAACAGAGTCAGATAGTTGTTTGCATAATTGGTTTGGTTTACAATTGCTCGAAGTCAATTTAGATCTTTGTGCCCCTACCTTATGTATGAATAATTTTAATTACACATGGTCTAAAACTCACATGTGAAACATGCCAGTAAAAAGGGTTCGTTCCTTTAAAAAATTCTACAAAACGTTGTTTGCTTTAACACTATTGTGGCTGAACATTTGTATTTAAAATAAACTCTAAAAATATCAATTTTTATTACGATCCCATTATTCTACTCATATATATAAATTTATTTAAATCTTATATTTTTATTTTTATACCGCTCAGGGGTAGTTTGTAAATGCTCATTATTTTGTATTAAATTAACAATAAATTGCTTATTATGATCTGTTATAACAAAAGTTCTCATTAAGTGAATAAATATATATAAATACATATTTTTCCTAGAAAGAATGAAGCAACTGAACAAACGTAACAAGGATAATAAGGTGTTCTAAATATAGAAAAACATATTGTTTTCATAAATTTTAATTTTATGCATACCGCAATAATGTAATAAATTCTAAAATAAATGTAAAAGTGAATTAGACTGAAAACGAATATTCATTCCAGGTAGTCGTGATTCTATATTTAGGAAAAAATTGAATTAAAACAATTTAATTTCATTTCCTTGCTTTTTCATTTGGGTGCATAGAATTTGTAGCAGAAAATTGTATTATGTTTAGGTAAAAAAAATTTAATATTGATAAAGGTATTATTTCTAACAAATGTATTATTATCAAACAAAATTCTTTATGTAGTAATTTATTATAGGAATTATAAATGCTAGGAATAATGTAAGTAATTTACTTGCATTTTTATTCTTACTAAAAAATAAATCTAATTATTAGCTGCATATTTTAATATAAAATTAATAAAATATATTGTAGTCTGTTATTAACGACTAAGTTGCAAATGACCATGGCAATTTTAATTCATTTAGGTTTATAGTTTAATATATTTTTATTTTAATTACTCATAAAAATTTGTATATTTCCGTGTTTGTTATTTTGCATAATTAATAAATTCAATTATGCCTGAATTACAGCCCTAATAAAAATATATAAAATGAAATATTTGCAATTTATATTATTCATAAACAAATAGTCAGAGTTATGATCAAATAATATTTTCCATTGGCTGATTGGAAACGTTATGGATTTTGGCTTAACATAATTCCTCACACTCCATTTCTAAATTGTCAAAGCGATTTTCCGAGTCAATATTTTAATTTGATTCCAGCTTTTATAATTTCTTTTGACGTTAAAATCTATATTTGTACATCAAAGATCACGTTTAGAACTTTCCAATCAGTATTTATATTAGGACACGATGCGTAATTTAAATTCTTCTGAAAATAATGCAAAAAGTCTTTAATTAGCTTTATATTGGAAATAATTTTATTTGTTTTAAACTTTTCCTTTGTGTCTATTATAATATACCTAAAAATAAAGAATATACACGTCAAGCTGCTTTGTGCCAGAATATAATTTTTTACTATATTTAGAATTTCAGCACAGTAATAAATGAAATTCAAATCAATTTATTTTATCATCTTTGTCCGAAAACGGCATGTTCAAAATACTTACCAAAACTTACTAAACTTTATTTGATCTATAAATGTATTTTTCGCATTATATTTGTACTAGGTTAGGTCGAGGCACAAAGGTCTAATTTGACTTTGAACAATTATATTGCAAACACCAAATCACAACAAAAAACTCATATCAAAAAACAACTATCTGACTATGTTCAGTGAAACTCGCAACTAATTAATTATTGTAGAAATATATTTTCTTTACTGGTTTGCAATAATTTATTTGTCACCTGGTAAAATGGGGTAAAATGCATATAACCTTGATCTGGTATTTTATCAGAATTATTCATCAGTAGAGTGGACCAACTACTTATTTAATTTAAATTCCGTTATTTCTTTTTTAACTTAATTTACTTTTTTATTTATTATTTTTTATTGGTTTCACCTTTGACAAGGTGAGGTTCAGTTGGTCCTTTTACCCAACCCCCATATAGGAGTTATAAAGAACGGTTGAATCTAACACAAAATATTAATACATTTCCTAGAGGAATTAAATGACTTTTATTACTTAAGAATTATTTTAAGGTCTAGTAAACTAAACAACAGTACTTACAACCAACGAAGAAAAATACTTTTGTTATAGATTCTCAAGATGATTGTTCATTATAAATATTTTTCCCTCCACTTTCAAATATTATTGTTAAAAAATGCTTAACTTTTTTTTGAGATAACGGGGGTGAACCCTTTTACCCGCGGATCTTTAAGCCCTGCTTTACTCCATTTCAAAACAGCAAAAATGTATTACTGCTTTCTCAAACAGGTATAAGGCCATTTCAGTCTGATTGTAATTCAATTTCAAATTATTACAAAACATATAATAAGAAGGTTAAATATTGAGTTTGCAAACAGTTTTATTAATTTTTCCCAAAAAAGCGAAAAAATCTACATAAAAATAATAATTTGTAAAATGGATTTTATAGATTTAAAATCATACTATTAAATATTCATCTCGTGACATTATTTTAACTTCCCTAAGGAAAAGTTTAAGTTTTCATGAAAATTCCGATTTGCCAAGTTTTTGTTTTCTCGACGCTTCAAGCCATTCTGAATCGAATAAGACCAAATTTGGAAAAAGTATGTGTTTGTGTATGTGAGTTAATGTGTGTGCGTGTGTGTGAAGATATTTTTAATTTTTTTATTTGCTGAGTTGATAGTTCAATATTTACAATTAGCTATATTGAACATTCGCTGGCCCGAAATTCATTTTTCATGTATGGTTTTTTAGAGCAAAATTCTTGAAGAGATCTATAATACAAGTTTGCAGGCTTCCCACAATTTGTCTTAAACATTTTTATTTCATAAATTACACGATCCATGATTTAGTTTTGTAGTTTTTAATAAAACGTCTCAACGGAATCATGAACGTGCATGACATCGTGTTTTTAAGAAAATTGCCAGAACTTCCCGTACCGTAACCTGCAATTTTAAAAAGCTTTAAAATTGTTTGAAAAATAAAAAATCTACTGGCGTATAGCATCATGCCTTGAGGCAAAAATTTTTCAAAAGAACTTTAAGATTTTTTGAAAACTTTGAAAAAATTAGATTTTGGGGTTTTGTAGTATTTGAAAAAATGTGAAGTATTTGTGAAACATGATTTTTTTCATTTTTCAAAACTTTTTGAAAATTTTAAACTTTTATTCAAAGCAATCGTGCTGCGTGGCTGTTGAGAAAAAATATAGAAACGCGTAAGCGCCGCGTATCGTAGTCAAACGGATGAACATTGATACGGAACCCATAGAAATGCAAACAAAATTTGTGCTCATTATTG